CAAAATCGGTTCACAAATGCAAACACGTAACATACACACAACAACAAAAAGTGCAGACGAATTGACGACCTCCTCCTTCGTTTAAGTCGGTTCAAAATAATAAGCGCTATTATATGCTATTTGGGTGATACTAAATTTGACAAAATTGTATTTAATATGAAAAAATATTTTTATTTTTTAAAGAATGGACACAAATGCATACACACAAAATTAAAACACAACTCGTACCCTCTTGGTATGAAATGGTCACAAGTAGCCGTACGTCAAAAGTGTTTATCACATGAAAGTGATAAAAACAATAAGAATTACATGAAACAAATTGTGTATATGCATAATTTAGTAGCAGAAGAGGTCCTTGTGAAAGATTTCGTCCAGGATAGTACTGCCACCTTACCTATTTCTGCCGCCAAGCAGTAATGTCAGCATTACTGTGTTCCGGTTTAGAAGGGCAAGGGCGCTGGTGAAATTACAGGCACATGGGACTTGTCAACTTATGTCTTAGTTCTCAGATCTTTGCGATTTAAAGCTCTGAGTGGCACTGCAACTGTTATTGACAGGCGTGTCGCTTACCATCAGGCGCGCGACTTGTTCGGGTCGTTTGATATCATAAAAAATAAATATATGTATAACTCTCCTATTTAACCATAAAAACCTTATCGGCTTATTTCGTTCATTAGTCATTAAAGCTCTATACAGAAATGTCATTTTGCTGATAGGCATTTATTACACCAAAGGTCAGAACAAAATTCGGATATCGGCTTTTAAGAATTTGCATAGCAAATGTTCATCAAATATTAGTGCCCACAGGGAAATGCTATACAATTTATCATAACTATAAAAAATGATATTTTCGGGAAACATTTACAAAATACTTAAAAAAACACACTTAACTTCAAGTTTTGGCCGTTACTCAAAAAGTTACGAGTCAAAACACACAAAAACACTTTCGTCCAAAGTGTCTTCCTATGTATGAGGTCCTGGGTTCAATCCCACCAAAATATCTGCACCATTGACTGTTCTAATCATGTGCATAAATGTAATTCATTTGAGCATCATGATGAAATGGACATATCCAAGAAGATTCGCAAGTAATATAACATCATAAATATGTTTTGATAACATGATATTAATGCAATTCCACACAAACTGCAGTGTAGATAAATATGTAATAAAAAGAGCTCTCTACATTTGTGTCTGCCCGTGGATATCGTATTAAGCAACTAAGGTATAATAAATAAATCAATGATAGATGTCAGCGTCTTTATGAATATTAGCATTAGAGCTTTAAATTGCTAACACGCCAGTTTCAATTCGATTCGACATAGCGATTATAGTGAATTATCTTTTAATATACAAGCCACTTGCAGCAGTGGTGTCTTTATTGAATGATAACTATCGAGTACGTCCTAGATTCTACAAAATACTACCTTTTATTTCGTTGGGAAAAAAAACAGCGACATCTATTTATCTATAAAAAAATCACGACGCCTGTTAGCAAGATGGATTGATGTTGCATAACCACATGACCACATTACGCCAGCTTACGAACTACCTCGTTCATACAGAAACACATAGATGGCGCTTATAACAACTTTCCGCAGCACGTTTGGCCTGTTTATATTAGGTATTTATTATTAAAAAGAAAGAAGGACAAAATAGTTTATTGGCAACCTTACGAGAAAACTGTATATGACAAAATGATGTGTGACTATTGACTTATAATGTGTGTGACTTGTCCACAGAACAATAAATACAGGACTTGACAATCTATGGATGACGTCTGTGGACGCGCAAGCAAGGCGCAAGCCAACGAGAGTTGTTTGTAACCCAGGTTACAAACAACTCTCGTTGTAAACTGTTCTCGGTGTCAACGAATGGCATCAACAGAACAAATATCTATAAAGCCTCTATTTGTTAATATTGCTATATCCTTGCTATATCAATCAAATATTAGCAAATATATTATTAATAAATAATATTGTGGTTGTTTTTAATCCGAGACGCGTCTTTACTACGCGCCATGGTAAAAATTTGAAGCTAAATCGTAGCAGTGTTACCTACTATGATATTCGCTTCATAGTTTTCTTTACGACCTCCTTTCTGTATCTTTTTAAATTTTCTTTATGTTATAGAGTCAATTTGATTTCATTCAAAACAGTTCAAACTTATTGTTTAAATCAATTATTATCTGTTATCCACGAATACTTCACGGCTATGGCGAGAAAACGAATTAAAATGCACGAGTAAACAAATACGATTATGGAGAACAGTACACAAGAAAAAATAAATGATAAAATTTTATACCGAAAGCACTAAAAAATGGATGCCGTGCCCTAGAAACAGCTTTGTGTACCCCGGACTTGCATTTCTAGTGCCCTTAGACCAATTCGTAGTCGTAGAAGAACTAGATGCGTTGCACCAAATCATAGAAAGGCAGCCTTTGGGACACACAATTTACAACAACGCCGGAGAGAAGGTTTTTATTTCTGTTAAGAAAAACAAACACAAAAAGTTCGCCATATCAATATACAACTTATATGGAAACGAGGTTATAGAATTGAAAAAACCTTATCCTCTGTTTTTTGACACGGTTCTAGTATGGGCACCACCTGGAAACTTTATCGGCTCTGTGGTCACTAGAAGAGGCTGTTTATCTCGAACGTTTACAGTTAAAAATAGAGATGGAAAAGCCGTATTTAAAATTAATCCGAAACAGAGTACTACGTACGACATTTATTCAATAAATGCTAATAAAGTTATAGGCATTGTGATGAGAAATTGGCATCTATCAACGGTCATGGAAGACAATAATATAACAGCTCATTTTCCAGCAACAATAGATGTCAGTGAAAAAGTAGCCATTCTCGGAGCATGCTTTTTGTTAAACGCCTTGGATTGCAAAGAAAGTTGTACGCCTTGTTAAACAGATCATTAATTATGAATTAAATATACAAGGTGAGACTGTTTCGTCTCTTTTTCCGATTTCATATTTGATTTCTGACCTTTTGATATAGCTTCAAACGTGTAGAAGGCCCAGCGCCAATTGGCGAGATGAGAGATCCTACGGCATCATTACTTACAAGCAAATACGTCAAAGAGTTCGTCCTACCTATTTCTGCGGCCAAGCAGTAATGACAGCATTACTGTGTTCTACTTTTTAAGGGTAAGGGTGCTGGTGAAATTACAGGCACATGGGACTTATCAACTTATGTCTCAAGGTGACGGGCGCAGTGGTAGTGCCCCTCAGATCTTTGCAACTTAAAGCTCTGAGTGGCACCGTAACTGTTATGGACAGACGTGTAGATTACCATTTTCATACCGTTTTCATAGCTACGACCACTATCATTGAAAATTCAACTATAATTACAAAGGAATAAGGTATATATAAGTTGGATACGACTTGCAGGGGACAGTTGTTGTCCACTAGGATCTCCCAGCCCAATCCCTCAGGGGATCCTTTGTGAACTCAGCAGTTTATTAGAATCCCCTAAGTTAAATGTAGGGACCGGTCGTTGTGTTGTTTTTTGGGGAAGCCTGATTTCCAAAATATCTAGGTCTTTCGTCTTTCGGCTGAAATGGCGACACTTAATAAATGTTACATACCATTCGTTCATATGTACAGGCGGTACCGGTACACCATCGCGTTCAGAGGTAATTGTTCATAACGCGCGGTGCGTTTGGAATTATAGGAATGACAAGTGTAGGTAGCTGTCCATCTGGACGTATTATCGTCCACAAGTAATTGCGCCGACGACGCCGACGACGACGCTCGGCAGTTGTGCGCCCCCATCTGAACCTATAGCCTTGTAAAGTTGTGACTGGCGCACTGCAAACTATTATGGCTTGTAACTTCCCACCAGGCGCACGACTTGTACATACTTAATATCGTTTTACGCTCAATAATGTACAAACTAGGGGGTCTACTCTCGATATCCGTCCGACACCCGTCCGAAACAATTACTGTCAAATAAGTCATATTCAACAAAATTAAAAGACAAGTATCAAGTATGACGCTTCATTCGCATCACGCGTCTTTTCATTTGGTCTAGTATTTGCTTATTTGGCAGTAATTGTTTCGGACGAAGATCGAGAGTAGACCCCTAGCCAAAAATACGAGCCAAAACTTTCCGCGGAATGCGCGAGCATTCTGGAGCAGGCGCGAGAATTCCGCGATTGTACTCCACGCGTCTCGTTCGTCTCGTGTAAGCCAGAGCCCAACACGACATACATACACTAATAAATATCATGACCATCGATAAATACTAAAGCCATATAAAGGAAAAATAATTGTTTAAGTGTTTATTACTAATTTCCTTATATTAAAACCTTCAAATACCATGCATGTAACAAATTCTGTAATATTGTGCAAAATTTGTACATGAGCTCCGAGACTAACACAGGTATAACCTTAGAATAATTGTAACTTCTAAAAAAAGGAACAAGTAATTGTTAAAATTTCGTAAAAAAAAAAAATCGTTATCTTAGGCGCTGCTCAAATGTGTCTTGTGTTGAATACAGGCAACCGGAAACTAAAAGCGACTATTCCATTTTCATACAATTGCGGCTGCGGGAACATGTACGCGCAAACAGAAAACTTAGGGTCGTATTCTAGAACTGTACTCAATGCTCAAGTCAGGACTTGATTATTGCAGTGAACACTGAAAATCATACTCAAGTCCTTGCCATTAGGGTCGTATTTCCAGAGCTTGAAATCATACTCGAGTCTGCTCAAATCCTGACTTGAACATTGAGTAGACTTAGATTTCCAATTTTTGCATCACCAAGCTTTTGTTACACACGCCTGAGAAAAACATTATAGCAAATACAACTTGTGAAGTATGTTATTATAATTCAATTCATCGAAAGTTATAAAGGGGCTATAGAAAATGATACAAAATATTAAGATTGTACTTTTTGTACTTTTATTAGAACTTAATACAAAATCAGTCTTAATACTGGAATAGTGTAACTTAAACTCAAAGTAAACCAAACATTAAAATCTAACGCCTACGTTTTTTCTGTGGAGTCTTTTCCTCTTCAATTGCTTCACCATTTTGTTCTTCGTCTGCTACTTTTCTTCTCACAGGTCCTGTATGAGTTATAGGAATTGCCCTCTCGTCCTTCAAACTACTGAATTTAGAAGCCGTAACTGTTAAAACACCATCAGAAGAAAGTTTAGACTCGACTGTGTCAGCATTGCAATCTTCTGGCAAGAGATATTTTCTTGTAAACTGTCGCGATACAAATCCGTGTTCGTCCTTCTTTTCTTCGTGTTTCCCTTCTACAATAATGTATCTGTCTGATGTTTTCACAGAGATCTCTTCCGGACTGAAATGCTGTACATCCAAATTCACTTGGAACTTATTTTTGTCACTCTTGATTGACGATCCAAAATCTTTTGCAACTGCAGACAGATTTTTCCAAGGACGAATGTAACGGCGGATCTGTAGAGTCGGGGGCTCAAGTACATCCGTCAAAAAATCTTCCGGTGAAATGTCCATGCCAAAAAGCTGGTTACGGATACGCTTAGGGCGAATGTCGTCGAACCAATATGGTAATAACGCCATTCTTCAATGAATTAACAAGAAAACCGCGTTAGAATATGGTTAAATCGCTCCGAAATTCGCTTGGAAATTTGCTCGTCGCTCTGACTCGGTGCGCTCGCAATACAAACTTGGGAAGTGACGTATCTCACCGGCTTTTATATGAATAAATCGGGTACTCCAGAAGTAGCTTGAATTTTCCAGAAATTGTACACTACTACATCTAGCGGCGAGTTGTAGAACTACTAGAACATTCAGCTTTGTAGTTTATAGAATTTTACTGGAATACTAAAGAAACACTTATGGTCTATTGCATACTAATCGTACTATGAAAGCTATTTAATAAATGATTCATAAAAATGGTTACAATTAATGAAATGTGTATATTTATTATTTCTCAAGATTAAATTAATAATATTAGGAGAAATAAAAACCATAAACACTGCTGCGCCATCTCGAATTTACTTACAGTATCTCTTGGTGGGTGCGACTTCCGCGAACTACGAAATACTCAACTGTTACAAAATATATTTTGTGCACCTAGTAGTAACAAGTTTAATGACAAAAATATAACGCCTAAAAACGTAACTTTCATTATTGTTATGCAAAATACGTAAAATATTATGAATTATGAACCAAGTAAAGTTAACATAAACTTTAGTTACGCTACTAGATACAAGATGGCGCTATCAGTACAAAAATGCTTGTCAAGCATTGATTATTAACTCACAGGCTTCTGGAACTATCCTTGCAATGAAACCACGTTTCTTTTTTTACAGGCACCGAACGTTATTAAAACACTTGACTGTACTCTTGTAATCTAAGCTCAAAAATCTTATCACTTAAAAATCTGGACTACTTAACGACACCTTTTGATTTTATTGTTAGGTATTGGTGAAATACATTATAGGATTCATATATATCATAATAATTATCGTAGATAAATACAGGTTCATAAATTGTGAAACGTACTTATATCTTCTTATTAAGTAAAGTAGGCACTTATTAATTTGTTAAAAATTAAACCGGACTAACCTAAAAATTGTCGCATGGCAGCTACCGGCTAACGATTTCACTAATAATAACGCAATGGAATTAAAATTTATGAGTTAAATACTTAGCATTTTTCTGATTGTCTACTTTACAATTCATCAAGGATCTTCCTGTGAAGTATTTTGACGTAAAAATTTACGTTTAATATTCCTACCTAACTTACTTACTTCCTGTAGTTGCCCACTTAAAAACTAGGTAGTCATTGTCTTATATACGAGTATGTTACATAAAAACAACGATATCTATGTGCTTTGGATCGAAATCATCAGTTTGTTATGAATTCATGACTATAAGAACATTACATAAAGTGTAACTTTATGATTTAATGTTTAAATTCACTTAGACTAGGTAGACTCAACAAGGATTCAACAATACAAACTTATCATTAATAAGTACAAAATTATTATGAAATTTTCTTTTAGTAACACTGCATAATAATTTATGTTCATGCCTATTACTTCTGGAAAATGATTCTTCGTTTCAAAATTAGGTCTTGTCTATGAATACCTACTGTTTATTTCTGATGAGTATATTAAAATTAATTTTATTTTTCGCGTTTTCCTTTATTAAATATAAAATATGAAGACTAGAAATTGAAGTTGTTTCTCGATAAAAATTTTGGTAGATTCAAAGACATTCCTGAGTAAGAAGATGTAAGAAGTTAATAGGTGTATTAGATAATAAAACTGATATATTTATTGTAAAATAGAGTTAACATGGCAATGTCTGCACGTGTCTCTGCATATGTGGAGTTATTTTTGCTTTCTATTTGGGTATAATGACGAAGGAATTAAACAATGAGCGTGTTAGAAACCAGTGACAATAGAAAAAATATAAAATTTAAGAAATTGACCATTGTTTGGATCTTGTAATGTAAGTGAAGTTGAGTGTATCTTGCATATTTGTATGTACAAATTAATCATGAAGGTTATTAGTATGCCTACCTTACAATCAGCGTCAACCCTTTTACACCCCTATAAGGAGAGGTTTTTTCCTCTCTACCACTCCTTGGAGGGGTGTAAATGGTAGAGTTTAGCCAACAATGCAGGCCAATGAATAATGGTGACAAATGGAATAACATCCTACAAAGAAACTAACCTCGTAATTTATATATTCTTCGTTCTGTTGCTGTGGTCTTTACCTACCCCGACGAAAAATAAGCATAAAGTGAATGCATGTGTGTATATCCTATACAATAGCTTTAAAAACACTAGCTTAACATTTTCTAGGTACGTTATTAAATTTGCTACGCGTAGCTTATAACATGGAGTAATTATTTAACATACATTAATTTTATATACTTTATTTTATTTTATTTAAATAAGCCAAGGAGAGCTTATATGTTTGAAAAAGAAAGTGTTTGTGTCTATTTATCGACTGAAGAAAATGGTAAACTTTGTAGGTAATTCCCACAAAACGAACATAAACTGAATTTATAAATACGCAAAATAATTTCTAGAAAAGTACTTCCATTTTTAACTGTCATTAAAATCAATACTATAGATACGACTCCACAGCTCCACGAAAAACCGGATGCTGTTTGCGCTGCTTGTGGCGAATAGAGGCACTAAATATCGGAAATAGACGGAATGTTCTAGACGGCTTATGGAAATTGTTAAAAAATACTACTTTTTCAATAAAACTTGCAAAAAAGATCAGTAAACTTTTAAATGATTTACTCTATTCAATGTTTCAAACGTATAGCCTGCAAATATTTCTGTCAGAAATGTTAGTTTTGAATACTTTTATCACGAAGTTTCTGGAAAGTTCTCGAACATTCCGTGAAAATATCAGAAAATATTACTAGCGCTGCGCGCGCCAAGTAGCAGTACTAAAATTATTGATCAGAAATCGTCAACATTTCAACAAATAAGTATTTTTTTTTCTTTCGATGCATAATGGTAGGAATTAAATCTATAGGTACCTTAACTGAAAATTAAATGAAATACTACATTATTCTCTTTACGCTATGGAACAGTCAAGAGCACGTCAAGCTTGGCACTTTGTACTTTGAACCGTTGTTATCGTAAGCGGCATAGAGTTGGATTTAAGTCATAAGTGTCAAGCTTGACGAGCTCTTGAACCTGAACCAAGTAGCTCAATACAGCTACATTAAAAATAAATATATATATATTATATATATAACAATTTTTTAAGTAATATGAATATTGTGGGCCACAGAATTAATTTTACAAACTACGACCATAATTAATTTTTAAATGGGTATACGTAGTTTATTTGTGTCATATTTCTGTAATATTTCTAGGTAGGTAGTGAAGGTACGTTAAATAATAAATATTTATTCCACACCACATCACGTGTTACTATTTTGTTTGAAAAATCATCTGGCAGTATCTGTGATAAAAGTTTTTAGAGAGGCGGTTTTAGACGCCGCCTATTATCACCGGCTGGCTGAGGCAGTCTCTTTGGACGAGAGACGCCAAGGAAAGTGTCACACTGGCCGAAAATGTTTGACAGTTTTTAGTTACGTAAATTGTCATTGCAGCGATTGCAAATTGTTTGCCCGCGTTTGATAAAAAGCTATTTGTAAAAACCACGAAACATTATATTTACATTTATATTTATGTCATAAAAATACAATTTAATTATTCTTCTTTACTATAAATAAAGTAGCTGTTTCTATTTATTGCTAAAAAAAGTTTACAGTGAGTGTTCTCAGAAAGTTAAAAAAAAAAAATCTTTATGATTCTAATATTCAATTCAATCAATAATAATTCTATTCAATCCAATCGCTTTCTCTATTTTATTAAGTAGTCATCAAACGTACAAACCCACTAACCAACCAATTGTTGAAATTTTATTGTTCAACATGTATTTTGTTCACAAGGTTTAGTCAGTTAAGTATATTTAAAATCGAGCCGAATGTTCGTACCTCTGACGAGTAGAAGGTTCTGTCTCGAAACTTCTACTCACAGATAGATGTCGTACACACAGCGTCTCTATAAATACAGTGTGACAGTTCGAGCCGGCGTCATTTGAGAAAATTACAAAGAGAGAACGAGACGCTATTCGCTGCGAAATTTATACACGTGTTCTGTGAAACGCAAGTCATTATTCTGTGAAGTACTGAGTGTTATTGAAGAAAAGAAGTGATAATGCCTGAAGAAATGGAAACACAGCCTGCGGAGGTAGAGACCTTCGCCTTCCAGGCGGAAATCGCCCAGTTGATGTCCCTCATCATCAACACCTTCTATTCGAACAAAGAAATCTTCCTACGAGAACTGATCTCTAACTCGTCCGACGCCTTGGATAAGATCCGGTATGAATCTCTCACGGATCCTTCAAAACTTGACAGCGGTAAAGAGCTGTACATCAAGATCGTGCCCAACAAGAGCGAGGGCACTCTAACCATCATTGACACCGGTATTGGTATGACAAAGGCTGATTTAGTCAATAACTTGGGTACCATCGCCAAGTCCGGGACAAAGGCGTTCATGGAGGCACTGCAGGCGGGTGCTGACATCTCTATGATCGGTCAGTTTGGTGTAGGCTTCTACTCGTGCTATTTGGTCGCGGACCGCGTGACTGTCCACTCCAAGCACAATGATGATGAGCAGTACATGTGGGAGTCGGCTGCTGGAGGCAGTTTCACGGTGCGCCCTGATCATGGAGAACCTCTCGGCCGTGGCACCAAGATTGTCCTGCACATCAAGGAGGATCTGGCCGAGTATCTAGAGGAGCACAAAATCAAGGAAGTTGTGAAGAAGCACTCCCAGTTTATTGGCTACCCTATCAAGCTCGTTGTAGAGAAAGAGCGCGAGAAGGAACTGTCTGATGATGAAGCTGAGGAGGAGAAAAAAGAAGATGAGAAGGAGGACGACAAGCCCAAGATTGAGGATGTTGGAGAGGATGAGGACGAGGATAGCAAAGATAAAAAGAAGAAAAAGAAGACTATTAAGGAAAAATACACAGAAGATGAGGAGTTGAACAAGACCAAACCCATCTGGACCAGAAATGCTGATGACATCACCCAGGAGGAATATGGAGACTTCTACAAGTCCCTCACCAACGACTGGGAAGACCACTTGGCTGTCAAACACTTCTCTGTTGAAGGTCAGCTTGAATTTAGAGCTCTATTATTTGTTCCCCGCAGAGCTCCCTTCGACTTATTTGAAAATAAGAAGCGCAAGAACAATATTAAACTGTATGTCCGTCGTGTATTCATCATGGATAACTGTGAAGATTTAATCCCGGAATATCTTAACTTCATAAAGGGTGTGGTTGACAGTGAGGACTTGCCCTTAAATATTTCTCGAGAAATGCTGCAACAGAACAAGATTTTGAAAGTAATTAGGAAGAACTTAGTTAAGAAATGTTTAGAACTATTTGAAGAACTAGCAGAGGACAAAGAGAATTACAAGAAGTTTTATGAACAGTTTAGCAAGAACCTGAAACTTGGTATTCATGAAGATTCACAAAACAGGTCAAAGTTGGCAGACTTGCTCCGCTACCACACATCTGCCTCTGGCGACGAAGCATGCTCCCTCAAGGAGTATGTATCTCGTATGAAGGAGAACCAGAAGCACATTTACTATATCACTGGTGAAAACCGTGACCAAGTTTCCAACTCTTCCTTTGTTGAGAGGGTCAAGAAGCGTGGCTATGAAGTTGTATACATGACTGAGCCTATTGATGAGTATGTAGTACAACAAATGAGGGAATATGATGGCAAGACCTTAGTCTCTGTCACCAAAGAAGGCCTGGAGCTGCCAGAAGATGAGGAAGAGAAGAAGAAGCGTGAGGAAGACAAAGTAAAATTTGAAGGCCTCTGCAAAGTTATGAAGAACATCTTGGACAACAAAGTTGAGAAGGTGGTAGTATCTAACCGATTAGTTGAGTCACCATGCTGTATTGTCACAGCTCAATATGGTTGGTCTGCAAATATGGAACGTATCATGAAGGCACAGGCCCTGCGTGACACCTCTACTATGGGCTACATGGCTGCCAAGAAGCATCTGGAAATCAACCCTGATCATTCCATCATTGAGACACTCCGTCAGAAGGCAGATGCTGACAAGAATGACAAAGCTGTTAAAGACCTGGTTATCCTGCTTTATGAGACTGCTCTGTTGTCATCTGGCTTCACCCTTGATGAGCCTCAGGTGCACGCTTCACGGATCTACCGTATGATCAAACTTGGTCTTGGCATTGATGAGGATGAGCCTATTCAGCCTGAAGAGCCTAGCAGCGCTGGTGATGTACCTCCATTGGAGGGTGATGCTGATGATGCATCCCGTATGGAAGAAGTTGATTAAGTTATTTTGTTTTTAAGTACTCCGCCTAAGTTCTGTGTTACTATGTAATGCAAATAGTTTTATGGTGTACAGCCAAAGACTGATTTAGTTCAAATTCCATTTTCTTTTAAAATTAATAAAATGGTATTCACCATTCAAAATTATTTTTGTTGTTATTGATTACACCTTTAAATGTGTGTGGATTGAGTGAGCATGGTCCAAACGAAGTTTAAAAACGGTCAATAAGTTGTTCTAAACCAATATCATTAATAAATCGACTGCTGCCAATGTTACAGCTGTCTGTGTTATTCTTAGCATGATTGAAAAATTTTGTGTATTTTTCTAGATATTTCACATTCAATAGTTTACCTTGTCAGAATTTGCTAGAAATTAATTGAAAGTGGTAGAATCGTTAGTATTCATCACCGAGGGTCGTATTCTAGAACTCTACTCGATGCTCAAGTTAGGATTTTAGTATGGTTTAGAGCACTCGAAATCACACTCGAGTCCCTGCCATTAGGGTCGTATTTCCAGTGCTTGTGTTGCCAGGGCAATCCTGACTTGAGCATTGATTGAATAGAGTTCTAGAATACACGACCCTGAGTGTATATTCAAGAATTGCTACCTTTGATAGTATTCTGAGAAATTAAAAAAAGTAATTGACCAGCCATTTTGATATCAGGATTTTTTAATTTAATCAGGTACTTAAAGTAAATAGGAAGCGTATACTTTAATTCGTGAAAGTAGCAACATATCAAAGGTAGCAATTATTTAGAAAAGGTAGCAATTCTTGAATATACACTCGGCGCCAGATGTCACAGGCGACAAGCCATCCTGACGGTCATTACCCTCGTAGTCGATTCCACTCACAGACCACATAAGTGCTTCCACTAGTGGCACCACGAGAGGCTTTCGTGTCCGTCAAGGATGGATGGACCAGACGAGATGATTTATACAAATCAAACGGCTAATACTTTATGGTCTCTTAACACTAGATCACCACTCATACGGTTCAAATAAAGAAAATGCCATATCATTTAACTCGAGTACTTGTTTTATAATTTATAACTAGCCACAAAAAAGTATCTTCCTTCACTTCACAAATATATAATATAATGTACCCGCGCCGCAATATAAATTTGGTTCGTTCCCACAAGTTCTATTCAGTAGTTTCTGTTTATTGTAGAACTACTGGGACAAAAACTGTGCCTTATTCCATCGTGACCATGGTTGAGTTGAGACTAGCCAGTAAAAAAGTCGCTATTTAGGTGGTTCTAGTCGCAACAAAAAGTCCCAGTATCCCGGTCTGACTAAATTCTGTTTCAAGAATAATGGAGCTAGCGGGAAAAAATCATTCCAAGTAGTTACATTGGTTAGTTCTATTTTTGTTATGAATATAATATCACGGGTCATGCCTTTTCAAATTGCTTAAGAAAATTCAAACAAAAATTAATGATTACATATACCTACATATGTATAAGTTGAAACGGATCCAAGTCAGCATTTTGGCTGGTTTTCAGTTGGAACCTCTTTTACAAGATGAGGTGGCACGTAAGTAACTAGTGTGGTAAAAACACTGATATTATAAAATGTATCTTAAATATTAATAGGGACTATTACAAGACTTGAATGTATGTATATAAAATACTACACTTTTCTGGGATTATTACATGAATTGAATGTATTGGTATATTACTGCACTTCATCATCATCATATCAGCCGGAAGACGTCCACTGCTAAACGTAGGCCTCTCCCAAAGATTTCTAGACCAGCTGATCGGACGCGACGTGCATCCATCGCTGCACTTGTTAGGAATCATTACAAGAATTGAATGTATGAAATACTGCTCTTGTGAGACATTAATAAAGAAGCACTAGAACTAGAAAAGGCTGCCACTGGTGAAGTAAGCAATTGCATTAAAGTTTATTTTTCTTAAAGCAATAAAAATAGCCAAAAATCGTTACTTAGCCGCTCAGCGGGAGCGCTAGATAGTACTGTTTTATTTTAATTTTGAAAGATTGTATGGATGACAGGTTGCGCAAGAGAGGGGGAATATTATTCCATATTTTAGCGGCCATATATTTGAAACTACCCTAAAAGGCGGTTGTTCTATGCGGAGGTACTTTGAGAACAACACCACGCGAAAGAGGAAACAACCTTTGTGTTCGACAGGACCAGGTAATGAAATGCCGTGCCGCCCGTTGCCCTGTCAGTCACCATCGGGCGCTGGTCGACGTTGGATCTGTGTGAAATCTACCGCTGGTATCGACTCAGTAGGAAAGTCTTAACATACATTCACGTATGAACACATATGGCTTTATTATACCACGAGTATGCTTTGGTATTGTAGATATAGATTAGTGCTTTTTAGCGTTCAAGACCAAACTATGAGCTTATGTACGTGGAATCGCACAATAATAAAGAAAGAATTATACCTACAATAATTGCTATTGTACACCAAACTACAGAACATAATTAGAATATTCTTGATACCTCAGTTTCTAGTACGATCAATACAACCGCGCTATGGCGTTTGTATAGCGTTAGGGCGAATCCAGAAATTACTACAGAAACAATTTGCATGGTGCTCTAATAAAATGGTATTAAAAATACATATAATGTTTACAAATAATGGAAGGTAAATTTGTTTTAGTGTAGTTAAAATAAGGATTTTTTTTTTTCAAATTGTCTATAGACCGACGATGTAGTAATTTCTTTTGTCAAAACGGTACTACTTATTGACTAGAAAAAAAAAGAATATTAGAAAATAATTAGTAGAGACCGTTCGTAAGTAATCGACGTTAGAAATCTGTGGCGCAGCCTATTATAGAAACTGTACAAAATACATGTTTACAAAAGACAGAAAAAGAATCTTTATTAATGTTGCAAATGTGAGGGCCATCTTTTAAAGATTGCGCGTCAAGTGCATAGATTATGATTGTGTGCAACAGAATGAACGTTTCGAAAAGTAGGTAAATAGTAAAACACAACGGAAAAAGAAAAACATTTTTTTTTAAGTAATTAATTTATTTCCATTTTTGTTTTTTTGTTAAAGAAACTTGTAAAATATTCATAAATAAGATAAAATCTTTAGAAGGTATTATGCTATTTCAAAGGTAATATAAATAAATAGACAAAATGTTATATAATAGTTGTGAGTAATAGTCATTGGTGAAAACCTATCACAATAAACGACTAAATCTGGATTTTTCTCACGACAACGCAACGAGAATAGAAAACGTTTTTTTTTTTCGACAAAGACGACATTCGGGCTTTTTCGAGAATTTTCACAAGGGCGGTCAATAAACGCGACAACAACATAATTATATATATTGTATAGAAAGGTCGTTGACCCGGCTGGCTGTGTGTTGTTATGAAAAAGTAAAAATCTATACACAATAATAAAATGTCTATAAAAAGGAATTCGAAACTGTCATTTTTGTTACACTGACAAATTACATAAAGAAAACGTGCGAAATAAACACTAATAATACCGTTTTTCATAAATAACATTGTGTCATGGTTAACTGGTGGCATTATTATGCTTTTTAAAATCTATTTTGTCAAAACTTACTTTTCCAAGTTCCGTCGCTTTATTATCGAAGGCGTGCTATATCAGTATATCACTTATAATTTTACTGTAACTACTTATAAAGCGTATAAATCTAAACATTTTTGTTAGTTCTCCCAAATGAGCAGTGTAGTTGTGAAAATTTGACAATTTCAAGTGTAAATTGCTTAGGTAATGACTGTCAATCAGAGAGATATTGAAATAAGTTTTTTTTATGATACCAGGGGACACGACGAACAAGTCGTAAGCCCGGGGTTAAGCGATACGCCTATCCATAACAGTTGTAGTGCGACTCAGTGCTTTAAATCTCAATTATCTGAGGGACACTGCGACTGTGAATATCACCTTGAAACAAATTGACAAACCTCGTGTACCTGTAATTTCACCAGCACCCTTTCCCTTCAAAAACTGAAATACAGTAATGCTCACATTATTGCGTGGCGACAGAAGTAGTTTAGGTGGCAGTATTTCCCTAGACGAACTCATTCACGAGAAGCGCTACTGCTACTGTGCGTGTGGTGTTGAATGTCATTTCTAGTCATAGTAAGTACCTAATTCCCAACATCGTTTACCGAGACATACATGTTACAAAAAAATATATATATTATCGAGTTCTTAGGTTTTGCGAACACATAGGAAATGAAACTATTTTTCACCCTTTACAGGTCCCATGGCCACGTTGGTTTGAAAAAAGAAATATACGCAATTTAAATCCGGAAAAGTAGTTTCATTTCAAATACATAATTTTCACACCTATCAGCGTATGACAAGTCCCACTCAGCACAGGCGAATATCCTGGCGCCCTCTAGTACGCGGGCGATCAAAATAGCTTTTGCCGCTCGCGACGGCGACGACGCCTCCAAAGAGCTTGCGTCGTTGGCGGCGCAAGCGAAGTCAACGGGCTATCGCTTTTCAACATCATTAAAATTTATAAACTGCACCATTTGCAAACGATTTTCCGATCACTAGGGAAAAATATGACTGTAAGTATTCCATTTTGATCGCGTGCCTACTAGAGGGCGCCAGGGCACGGGTGCTACAAAATGTGCTAGCGCCGATGCTGAGTGAGACTTGTTATAAGCAGATGGCGCTCAGCGCCCCCTATGCGTCCGCCGCACACCCTGCACAATAGGTCCGCACTGGGGGTCTACTCTCGATCTCTGTCCGAAACAATTACTGTCAAATAAGTAATATTCGACCAAATTAAACGACAGGTATCAAGTATGGAGCTTTATTTGCATCACGCGGCTTTTCATTTGGTCGAGTATTGCTTATTTGACAGTAATTGTTTCGGACGGAGATCGAGAGTAGACCCCCTGGTCCCACTGCAGTCCGTCAGGCGCCCTAGAAGTTCTTGTCCAGTCGGCATAATCAAATAAAATATGGATTGGCTAAAAAATTATGAATTAATAAAGAATGGTGTGTATACAACCAACTTCATCGAACTAATAATTTTGCCGAGGGATGGCACGCCCGATTAAATCGTGTTATTAATAAAAATTACGTAACCATCGCGAAATTGCTCTCCGTTTTGGTAAGAGATATTTCCATTAACAAAATGGCAATATCTAATGCCAAAACTGGACACTCGCAAAATAAGCGACAGAGGTTGTTAAAAGAAAGAGATACATTTATAATAAATACCCAAATGTCATTGATTCACAAGGAAATATCAGTCGGTCATTTCTTAGAAAAACTTCGATGAACTATGTGAATCAATTTCATTTATCAGTGGTTAATAAAAGAGGTTTTATTTAAAAAATGTCAGTGGGGCCACGAGGCCAAAAATTTACTTGTTAAAACTAAGACCGTTGGTTCCACCATCTAAGTGGAACCACGAGTATTTGAAAATCCTACTGGACCCACTTGTGGAACCAAACAGTGGGTCCAACAGTCCTAAATGGTTATTTCGCAACAGAAAATCATTTACAAAGAATGATTCACAAATATATTTCGTATGAATCATGCCGCCTACATGCTGAACCAGGTGTGCGAGTGCTTTAAAAGCTATAAATTTAAAATTTTGACTTTTGAAAAATTGTTGCGACAAGTCCGGATTCTAAAATAGGTTTTTTCCATGTTATTCAGTTTTGTCTATCTATGTATAGCCATATCACATAGACAAAGTCCCCCAGCAAAGGAGCATGGTCCATCTTCTAGTCAATGTAAACATTGTTTTATTTTTTTTATAAAGTTGACGAAACTGAAACGAGATAATGACGACCTCTGTGGTCGAGTGGCTTGCCCACCGGTTTTCATGTTGTCGCCATCTCTAAGGTCCCGGGTTCGATCACCGTATGAGTGTGGAAACTACTAGTACTTATGTGATCTGTGGTGGAAACTTTTCTATATTGTCTCGGATCTGGGTGTTTGTGGTACCGTCGTCGTCGTTGTTTGTCATTTCTATAACACAAGTGCTTGCTGTTGTTGTTCTCTAATATTTATTTCCCGATATTTGAAAAAGGACTCATACCCGTGTCATGAAACCTGTAATTATGTAGTGATAATAATATAGTGAATAATCACTAAAATTTTAAAATCTGGGAAATACTTTTAAAACGAACTTCAAGGAAGAAAGGGTCATGATATGAGAGGTAATCAGTTAATTCTATCAAATAATTTACAATCCTTAACAATTATTAGGCCTTCGCGTTATTATTTTATCTAGACCAAATTATTCCAATTTTAATGTAGACTGGATAGCGTATTGATTAGGTTCTTGATTGCGATTACAAGTTCGTTGGTTGATGTGATTTATACAATTAAATAGGAACGTTTAAAGTGGCAAATGTTCAGCAGTAAAGAAGTATTGACTTCCACTTGACAACGATATCCATCTTAGCGTCGAATAAGCTTGTTATCACGAATAGACTGCATTGCGTCTACAGACAAATTTCCGTTTTGCGTGGTTCGGTATGAAAAGAGCTCTGGAAAATTCTGTCCATAGAAACCGGGGCGACCGATTGTGCTCGAACGTTGAATGAGTCGCTATTGTTTGGACAACATAATCGTCGTAATTCTAGAGAATTCAGACCAACGACATTTCCACATGCTCCTACTGGATGCTGCTATTGGTAGGAGCGCAAAAACTAATGTGTGCTTGTGCTCCTACCGTGACTTTGTGCCTAATCAGTACACTAAAGTAGAGTAAAAAATATATTCTTAAGCTTAGAATAATAACTCATAGAAACCTAGTCCGCCCACGCTAAGTGAGGCAAATTGAAGCGCTCCCAATGGGCCTACACGAGCGGGCGGGCCGTCAGTGCTCAAGGTCAACTTGCACCGCGAACAGATCAAGAATTTTAGCTAAAAATGACGAAATGTGCGGTAAATGAGTGTAAAAATACGTCAGACAAACATAAAATAGATACTAACATCACATTGCACAAGGAAACAACGCGTAAATAACTTGTATTTTTATATAAATATTCACTAAAACCGAAAATTAACCTACTACTAAAACTAGCCTACATTAATTTGATTTTTGCCTTGCCTTGTGACAGTTCGTTTGATATGAAACTATCATTCTTTGCGTTATTATTCTAAGTTCCTAAGTTAATTTAATATACATGTCACTTTTATCTCTATTTTTCTCGTTGAAGATAGAAAAATTCACCAAAAATGGATCTATCCTGGATTCTACCGCAAAACACAAATAGGTATCCTAAAAAAACGTCAGAATGTAAAATACTAAATATAAACGTTACCTTTGCGAGTGATTTTCAGATTAGTTTTCTCTACCTAATTTAGGTGGTAGTTTTTTATTTGTATACTCGAATAGGTACATGAGAAAACAAAAGAGGTTGGCAAGTGAAGATTCGTGGTACGTGCCTACCTCAGAGAGACACACGTAATTGTATGTTAACTTGTCGATTCTAACGAAGTCTAACAATCGATTCGGTATAGAGAAGAATCAATAACCACTGCAGGCCCTTATTTAACATGTTCCATTTTTTTTTAATTCTTAATAGCACGAGCCCGTCCGATGGTTCCCGCTGTCACACCTAGTGTTGTCATTTCATTTTTTAAATTCTCTATCCAAACGAATTGGACAACAAATTTTTCTGGTAATTATTGTATGTAGGGACATTTTAAAGGAAATAATTTTTTGAACAATAGTTTTTGCTAACGTATAATATATAAATAAAGTTGGCATATTGTACAACTGGTGCGTCTGTTCGTCCATACAATAAATTTAATCTACGGCCTTGTGTTCATCATCTGCTGGCAGTGCCGGCGCCGGCGGTGTGCACATTGCTGTCTCACAGTAAATTACTGCTGATTTGGTTAGTGCTCTGCACTGCGCTCCTTGTATCTGCACACACCAGACTGCGATGTTGTTGCAAGTAGATGGGTGTGATACTGGATGAACATCTGTCTGTGAATTACTAATAATGTTAATTTTAGAATTCCACAATGTTTTGGTAATTAACTGTAGGCAATGCTGTGTGATTGTATTCTGAAATAGATGAGCGTTGTGTCTAATATAGTCATTATCGTAACAACAAATACATTTTTGTTGCATAGGGAGCTATAAAGGATATTTCATTAAATAAACCTATTTAGATCAAGCTCACGCCTCACTATTTTTAGAATGCACGAAACATGACGGCATATCTGCTCCAGAAATATCGTTCTAATCTTGCTCTGAAATCTTGCCTAAATCACCGTCAAAGAGAATTAATAAGATAATAAAGAACAGATATTTATCGTGTTTACAAAAAGAATAGATTAAAATTATAACGGAAGTCAACTTTAGGTACATTTGTAGAATTTTCTACCCCTCAGATAATCTGATTGAGGGTCGAAAATTCCAGGTTGACGGGAGCGAGAACAAACATCAATTCGGTTGCTGTCTCTTTCGTACGTAAACCGTTCAAGTCTGGCATTTTCCAGATTCGTCGTGTGGGTGGCCATGCGCAAGATTTTATTTCCATGCTTTAAGCATGCTTTTCCCATTTTTCAATTATAAAACTCTAGAAGTGTTCAGTTTTAATGTTTTTTAGACAGAAAATTAAATGAAAAAACTTAGATATGCATTTTTATACGTAAATATTTAAATATTTTTTATTTAATTCTGTCCAATGAGTCAGAGTATCATTACTTGGTCGCAAATAAAAACAAATTTAGAAAGAAATCCTATATTGGTCCTACAGAGAATTGAACCCGGGACCTCGAAATCTATTGCCCAGAGTCTAATAATTGGTCCATCACAGTAATCAAAATTAACTTATCATTGATTTTGTACTACATAATAATAATTGAGCATGAGTTTAATATTTCTAAAACGCAATATCTGCATATTCGTACTATAGGCTGAACAACACAATATACACAATATGACAAAATTCATTTTTTCTAAAATGATATAATATTGACATTATCAATTAAAAGAGATTTGGCGAAAGGTATATTCATTGAATTAACTTAAAATAGTAACTAAAAGTATATACAACTATGTACGTGATTTTTCACATTAGTACTAAATCAAGAAAATATTTTAACTTTAATTATGAATCACACAATTATCTCAAACATAATAGTCTTGAAAAGTATTAAATGAACGAAAATTATCAATTTTGCCTTTTTCCCAAAATCCAGGGCAATGTTTCCATGTTGGCCACCTCACGCTACAAGGTTCGATAACACTGCCTGTCTATCTCTTTCTAGCGCACCGTGTTATGATTGGTTGGCTTCCACGTGTTTTCTAGAATATTCGATCGTAGCTCCGTCCTGATTGGCGCGTTCCGACATTATGTAGAATTTTCTCGATGGCCATTTGTTTAATATAAAAGAGGTTCACCGAGCGCGCCAAGCAGTATAATTTGAAACACGAAACGAAACAGACGAGAAGTTGAGGAATTCGAAGCAATTCGAAGCTAAGCAAACTACGATAGATAAATTATTATTCGAGAATATAACTATAAATAAAAATACACAATGCCAGCTATTGGAATTGATCTAGGAACAACCTACTCCTGCGTCGGCGTTTGGCAGCACGGGAACGTGGAAATCATCGCCAACGACCAAGGCAACCGCACAACACCGTCGTATGTGGCGTTCACGGATACAGAGCGGCTGATCGGCGACGCCGCGAAGAACCAGGTCGCTCTGAACCCCAGTAACACCGTTTTCGATGCCAAACGGCTAATCGGACGAAAATTCGACGACCCGAAGATCCAGCAGGACATCAAGCATTGGTCTTTCAAGGTTATCAACGACTGTGGCAAACCGAAGATCCAGGTTGAGTTCAAAGGCGAGACGAAGAGGTTTTCACCGGAGGAAATCAGCAGCATGGTTTTGACTAAGATGAAGGAGACTGCCGAAGCGTACCTCGGAACTTCAGTTAAGGACGCGGTCATCACAGTCCCCGCATACTTCAACGACTCACAGCGTCAGGCCACCAAAGACGCCGGAGCCATCGCTGGGATTAACGTTCTCCGCATCATCAACGAGCCTACAGCCGCTGCTCTCGCATACGGTCTTGATAAGAACTTGAAAGGTGAGCGCAACGTATTAATTTTCGACCTCGGCGGTGGAACCTTCGACGTATCAGTGCTCACCATCGACGAAGGATCGCTATTTGAGGTTAAATCGACGGCTGGTGATACGCATCTGGGCGGCGAGGACTTCGATAACAGATTAGTCAACCATCTGGCGGATGAGTTCCAGCGCAAATATAAGAAAGATTTACGCTCGAACCCACGCGCATTACGCCGCCTCCGCACCGCCGCCGAACGCGCCAAACGCACTCTATCATCGAGCACTGAGGCAACCATCGAAATCGACGCGCTATACGAGGGCATCGACTACTATACTCGAGTTTCGAGGGCCCGATTTGAAGAACTCTGTGCAGACCTGTTCAGAGGTACATTAGAGCCTGTTGAAAAGGCCCTGAAAGACGCGAAACTCGACAAAAGCCAAATCCACGATGTAGTCCTTGTCGGAGGTTCGACCCGTATTCCTAAGGTTCAGAATCTACTCCAGAACTTCTTCTGCGGCAAAAAATTAAACTTGTCCATCAACCCGGATGAAGCCGTAGCGTATGGAGCTGCAGTGCAAGCCGCTATCCTATCAGGGTCAACCGATACGAAGATCCAGGATGTGTTGCTGGTTGACGTGGCTCCTCTGTCTCTTGGTATCGAGACCGCTGGTGGCGTTATGACCAAGATCATTGAGCGCAATTCGAGGATCCCCTGCAAACAGTCACAGACCTTCACCACGTACTCTGACAACCAGCCGGCGGTCACCATTCAAGTCTACGAAGGCGAACGTGCCATGACAAAGGACAACAACTTACTTGGAACGTTCGACCTGACCGGCATTCCACCTGCCCCGAGAGGAGTCCCGAAGATCGACGTCACATTCGACTTGGACGCTAACGGTATCCTGAACGTCTCTGCTAAGGAAAATAGCACTGGAAGGAGCAAGAACATCGTCATCAAGAATGACAAGGGACGATTGTCCCAGGCAGATATCGACAGAATGTTAGCCGAAGCTGAGAGGTATAAGGAAGAGGATGAGAAGCAACGACAGCGTGTGGCGGCTCGTAATCAGCTCGAAGGCTACATCTTCAGTGTGAAGCAAGCTTTAGATGACGCTGGAGATAAGCTCAGTGAGTCCGATAAAGATCAGGCCAGAAAAGAGTGTGACGACGCGCTTAAATGGCTGGACAACAACACCTTAGCTGAGCAGGAGGAATATGAACACAGACTGAAAGATCTCCAGCGAGTATGCTCGCCCATCATGAGCAAGATGCATGGAGCTGGGGCCGGCGGCATGCCTAGCGGTATGCCAGAAGGCGGTATGCCCGGCCAGAGAAATACCGGTCCCACGGTCGAGGAAGTCGACTAAAGTTGCTTCATAATATTTTAGTTAAATCTATTTTAAGTTGACCTGTTTGTGATATTAATTTTAAGACTGACTGACTAACTTATTTGTGCCTGCAGTAAGATGATCATCTAATTGGAGTTTAAGTTAAATAAAAATTATTTTAACTTAATTTACCTTGTTTCATTTTTGTAGAACATTTCGAAATTACCTACTTTATAATGGTTCGTTCCCACTAGTTCTATTGAGTAGTTCTATTATAGAACTATTGGGACAAAATAGTCCCAAGTAGAGTGATTATAATAGAACTAGTCGGAAAAAAATATTCCAAGTAGTTAGTTACATTAGATTAGTTCCACTTTTATCCCGAAAATAATAAATATTATCAGGTACCTCCTTTTCAAATCATATTTAACCGACTTAAAAAAAGGAGGAGGTCAATTTGACTGCCAAGTTAATAAGCCAGCTAATGCAACAACTTAAAATGTTTTTTCCCCACTAGCTCTATTCTCGAAATATAATTTAATAGAAGGGATTCTTTGTTCCACTAGTGGACTACCGCACTTAGTGACAAAGTAAATATGACACACGAATTGTGTGACATACACACACCGTGACACACGCACCGAACGTTCACATTCGCCAATCATTATAATAACATTCCACACTGTCACCAGTAAAAAAAATCCAAAGCAGTAAATATATTGCATGGTTCTCAACCAGGAACCACACTCTGCAAGAGGAAAAAAGGAACCGACTTCAAAATTTGCTTATGATGTATACAAACTAAAACTAAAAAAAGTTAACAAGCGGTAACCGGAAAGTGCGCGAAACCGGATTCATCACCCCTAGTTTGCCACCCTGGGAACATTATCTAAATTTAAAACCAGAGGTAACAGTCTTTCCGACAAAAAAAGAATCATCAAAATCGGTTCACAAGTGCCGAAGTAATCGCGTATAACAAACAGACAAAAAAAAAATTACAGTCCAATTGAGAACCTTCTTTTTTTTTAAGTCGGTTAAAAAGTAAATCACTGTCCTTTGTATCAACAAAGTGCCATCTATCTTTCTAGTGTGTCGATTGATAAGTTTTTATTCGTCGCGTCGAAAGGTTTTATTTGATTGCGTACATCTCAAGGAAACTAATAGATGGCGCGGCGATAGCTTAAGTACCGATTTAAGTAAATTAATACATTTTCTTTTTGATAGATGTCTTTTGTTGTGTCTTAAGTTTTTTAAAAACATAATGAACGTATATCGTCACACAATTGTGACATACACACTGTTACAGAAGACACACATACACACAATAATTTTAAAGTGCCATCTGTGTTTCTGAAATAGAACTGATGAGATCGCGCGTTGGATTTCCTATCTGATTGCGAATTTCTCAAGCAAACTGAATAGATGGCGCTAGTATAAGTGCCGTACAGGCGAGATGTAGACTACACAAACCACTAATACAAAGTAGACTTCCATTTAGTAGATTTTCTTCTTGATAGATGTCACTAGGTGTTACTTACTTTTAAACATCACGACTAAAATAATGAACGTCAACTGACGTACAAAATTAAATACGAGTTCGAATAAGATTATTGTACACACTTTTTACAGATTGTTATAGATGATGAATAGAATAGAAATGTTTATTTCTTAATTACTATTGTCACAATATTACAATATAATATCGAAAATAGCTTTTTTTAAGAAATAGTAAAAAAGTTTCAAATAAAACTCCCAAGTAATTTTATAGTTTTTCATATCAAATAGAATTTTATATGTTTATAATACTAATATTTGGCGTACATTTGGCAACGAATGTTTTTTTTTAATAGAAATTGGCTTTCCCAAAATAAAAAATATAAATTTTTATGATTACGTATGAATTTGATCGACACTTGTATTAACAATAATAATACAAAATAGTGTCATAACAACCAGAGACGTCCATTAAAAACAAAAACAATTCTTTCCAAGAAATTCCTGAATTTTTATTTGTCCCCAAGCCAAAAACAACACGTAAACTCATAACGTACGTAAGCAAGCACATAATTTCATTTGAACGGAATTTAATAAATAGGTCAGTACAGTGAAGTTGAAACACAGCCGTAATTTTATGGACTTTGCAATTCTTCATTAGATCTTTATCGATCCCCACTTATGTTATAGCCATTACCACAGGGGAATATTATTGTAACTGTTAAATTCAAGGTTTGCATGGAATAATAAACGTTACAGTATAACTGTTGGTGTTGAAACGCGCAGCGTTCGGTACCCAAATTAGCTCTGGCAGAGTTCGCCTACGAAAAGGGTGGCCATCTTTTGTTGTTGCAAGAGACAAAGTAGAATGACGTTGTTATCTTTTACTGGACCCCGATTCAGAACTCTACGTTATCCAAGACCGTTTACCGAGTTAGTGGGTGAAATAGATTATAAGAAAAATTAAAATGCTTTTGTAAACATTTTTAAGAGTTTAAAGGCCGAAAATATAGGAATGCATTAGTTAAAATAAATAATAATTAATAAAATTGAACATAATCCAGACTTTATTTAAAATAATAAGAGATTTCCATATTACATTCTTGCTTTGTAAACAATAGGACGTTCGGTAACTTTTTTCGATAACTGTGTTTTGAGTAACGTTTTTAGTCTAGTTTTCTCGAGAAGTTTGAGTAATCGTACGCGTGTGACGTCATTTCGGTTCGGTTTCGAATACGACAGTTTGAATTCGATTCAGGTGTTGTTAATAAAAATAAAAAGAAAACTGAGTTATCGTAATGTCCTGAATCGACCCCCTGGTTACGTATGCCAATTGGTCGCACAGCTGGGTACATGCTCTATGGAATATATTTAGGAGAAATCCACCACCCACCACATTGCCAACAAAGCGAAAGTGTTTTTCGACACAATCACATTGCGACTGTTGAACAGATTTGGTCGTTATACTGGATCAAGGATTAAATCTGTTTAAAAGAAACCTTGGAAAACAAGCCTTGTGGTTACAGATACGAACGAGATATTTTCCACGGAATTAAATAAAAGTTGGAAAAATTGATTGAGCTTTAAATCGCAAAGATGCCACTGCAGCCGTCACCCTGAGACATAAGTTGATAAGTCCTATACCTATGCTTGTAATTTCACAAGAACCCTTATCCTACCAAACCGGAACGCAGTAATGCAGGATTTTCCTGGATGTACTCTTTCACAAGGTGCTCTAGTGCTAGTAAACATTTTAGCCTTAATTGTATTATTTAGCTTTTAAAATTATCAGCGTAAATCTTGTATTTGTTCTATTTTCATTACACTATTGAAGAAGCCTTCTCAAAAAATCATTGAAGTAAACAAGCGGTTTCATTCACCTAAATATATTATATTATTAATACTTTGTCAGAAGATACAAAAATGTCCGGGAAAACTCGTTCGTGTGTCGCACCTATTCCACAGAGCTTTTCTGCGTATTATGCAACGGTATTTCAGAACTTATTTTAGTTAGTCCGAACTTCTCGCGTCGCACGCGCGCCAAATCAACCGCTCGATAAATGGTCTAATTTTTATTCAAAAATATAATTCATAATTGTGTTCTTTACATTAATCGAGTGATAAACAATTAAATTATAATATCACACGCGACTGATTAAGTTTTCGAGTGTAACAAAGGTCATTTTCTTGGAAAAACAAACCATCGCGTGGGCGCTATGTCAACTGTCCGCCATTTTGTATTTTGTCTTGTTTTCGTTTTATTTGAATCGATTTTGACATTTTGATCTGGTTTCCGGGTTTATTATTAGTCTATTTCTATTAGGTACTATCTCTTTTCTTTTCTACTCTTTATTTTGTTAATTGTAATTATTCTTTTTCAATTTTCTTAATCAAGTTTTACGTTTTACCAATTGTTAAAACTGTTTGTCACGATGTGATTTGTTTTGAACTGACTTACCATTAATCTCGTTTTAGAGGTGACTCAAGATATTCACCTTGAAACCTCAGAAAAAATCGTGAAAACATGAAAACACAACTCTAACGTATGACTAATACGTTTCATTTCTTAAACAAAACAAATGTATTCGTTTCTCTAAACAACAAAAAATCTCGACTACATTAGCACAAACATTGGAGTCCTTTTGATGTCTATTGTAAACAAATTTGTACTCTAAACGTGGTCAATTAGGGCGAAAGTTACTTTGTGAAACTTCAAATTTTTTTAAAGCTCTGACAAACGTAGCCGTGTACGCAATACCGTCCTACATGAAAATCCGTGACTCACTCAATTTTACTTCATATACATTGGCATTTCAAATCTAGACGTCTTATTTCCAGTGACTGTCAATAAATACTCGGATTATTCAATAGAGGATTAAAGAACTGAAGTGTAACAGTGGCATAAAAAGGACAGCAAAGATGATGACCATAAGCGAGAATTTTTACTCCTCCAACAAAATGTCGAACATCTACAAGATGAATGATAGAGTTGTTCATCGAGACAGCTACGATGACGTTAAGAGTTCTTCATCAGAGAAGTGCGAGCTGCTTACGAAACGGGGTTTCAAGCCTTCCGACATGTTCGATCCTCAGAAAAAAGCATTCCTTACCAACCTCAGTTATAAATTGTTCCCTGTAAGTTGGGTAAGTTTTCTTTACTCCAGTTTAGATTTAGTGGAAGCTTCTAACAAAACGACGGTGTGCCGCAAGGAGCTACGCTGGAATCTTCACTTTTTATATTTTATACACGTATGGTATAGTATATTATTAACGATATGTTGCAATTAGCCTACTGACCCTATTTACTTAATAATATATTTCTTATGTAGTGTGAAGTTAATATATGTATATTTTTAGATATTTTAATTGAACGTTAACATGTTATTTCATTTTATCGTAGGATTACAGTTCAGAATAATAGTTACGACTGCATTCGCTGACTCCTGGCGCCAATCCAGACTTTGTTAGTGTTAGATTGTTCTAGAACCTTTGATAGAAATTAAATTCAAACATTTGAGGAATCGGTTTAATTAGAAAACCAGAGAAATTAACCTAAAGTGAGAGTGAAAACAAGGGGTCAACGTCTTTTTAATTTGCGTCTTTGAAATATCTTCAAATCTGAGTTTATGCCAAAAAGTAAATGGCAGTCGTTTATAAGTAATTATGCTTTAGTGACCTCGTAAATATTTTGGGCTTCATATATATTCCATCACAACAACATAATTATCTACATTCAAATATGAAATTTGGAATCAAATTACGTAGATAGCTTTTCCGTCAAAATTAAAAGTACGAATGGACCGCGCTAAGGGGGGAATTATGAACTAGTTAATGTATGTTCCAAATAGGGAAATGCCAATGTTACAAGAACATGGTTTGCATGGGAAACGTAAATTAAAATTGTTAAAAGTTCATAATTTTATACAGCTTATGAGTCAGCGCGAATTCAACATTTTCCATTTTGCTTGACTCGCGCGGTAGGGACACGAAATTAAAACCATTTGAAAAAAAAACAAGTCTGCAGTCTGCGAGCATGTCCTGGATAAACCTACACATTCAATGAAGTTCAAAAGAAGTCCGTTATCTACTCAGGATGCTGCGAGAGGTCAATGAAATTAAAAAACATCCTAATTTCAACAGGGAAGATGGTTTCTCCGTACCACCAGTTTGGGATCCAGTATTTCCTCTAATGAAAAATCCCAAACAGACGTAAGGCTGCAGTACTAATTAATATGTTTTAGCTTGCTGTAGCAATTCCTCATAATTTCGTAAAATTCAGATGAATTGCATCCAATTCTTTTAATTTTGATTTCATAATATTTATAAATGGATTATTTCGAGAATTTAGTGTAAATAAGTGTATTCATCAATAAAACAACTACGTAAGTCAATATTTTTTCCGAGAAATCGAAGTGACTCGGTGAAATTCGGCGATTAATTGCTTACAACACTGTTATTTAAGAAAAAATAGCTTGAGGACGTAACTATTTTCAGGACGTTTTGGAGTCACTCAAAATTGCATTTTATTTTGGAATTCGTGCGAACACAGCACTTTAAATATGTTTTGTCATATTATATTATGTTTCAATAAAATTTATGTATTTTTTGAACTCAATTATGCTAATAATTGTTTGTTTATTGTTTCGTTGATCGCATTCAAAGTTAAATACTATCGCCTTCGTTAGCTGTCAAATTTGGCTTCTTATTTAATGACGACTATAACTACTGCTAAGAAATTTAAAAAAAAAATCGAAACGACGTTAGGGTTTAATGTCTTTTACCATTGCGTGATTTTTAACATTCTAAAGTAATGTTTGTAGAAATATCTAAGTTTCAAAATATGGATATAAGGTCCTTTACCTCTCACCTACAGGATAGTTTATTTTGGAACCAACGTTTGAAACTCATACGCGGTTAAGCTTACGCTGTAATTTGACAAGACAGTCCCATATCTTTTCTACATAACTTTTGTGACCCTCCTCCCTATCAACCTCTTGGTTATACGGGAAAGGCACCGCAACTTGTGCAAGCAAGCCCGCACAGGGACCTACTCCGTCAGGTCCTGACCCCAGATCAGCCCGTTTGCACGGATAACCGGTGCTCAAAAGGCCAGTGCCTTGGGTGGGCTACCATTGGTGCACATACAGTATCCTCCCTATTTTCGCACATACAGTATCCTCCCCTTCCCGTTGCGAATTGCGTAAACGAACGGTTGCCACCGCTAAGCCGTTGATTTTAAAATCCGCTACTAAATCTCCGCTTCGGTGGCGGACTATGAAGGAGCTGTGGGCACTCTTACCTCCCGACGCCGAAGCGTCTCTCTAGTTCCCAGAAATTTACGTGGCTGGAGAGACCGGAGAATATCTAGCTCATCTTCTACTAGCTCTCCGGGCTGCGATAATGTTCGGACTCCGGACGTACCTTCCGATTTAGGTATCACGGACAGCCCTCTATGCAGAGCGTGCATGGAGGGGTAGGAAACGGCCGCACACATCCTACTAGAGTACTCCGGTGTGGCCAACTACAGGGCAAAGTACCTTGGAGTGCCGAGGTCGCTCCCCGAAGTCTTCAGAAAACCGAAGAGGCTGCTGAGATTCCTGTAGGAGCTTGGGTGGCACGAGTAGGACCCTGCACCCACCACACGCAAAATAGGCGCCTCGACGTCGAGTTGCGGAAACTAGCCCGTTGCACCAATACCAATACAAATACCATACCTTCCGATTTAAAGGGCAATTCAAGCGCGTCACCTCGCCTTACGTCCTCACCTAGACTGCTACTAAGGCGCGTTAGCTGCTCGCGGCCACATGCTACCGGGGCAGATAAACGTGTTCATCCCTACAGCTAACCACAAACCCTAGCGAGTCCATACCCAAGTGCGGGTCTACTAGAGACGCCCGTGGGCTTGGTCCGCTGTACCCTGGTCTTGCCGGCGAGCGCATAGTCTCCCCGGAACTCCCTGTCTCTCGGGTCAGTAGATCGGGACAATGAAACAAAAGTCGACGTGGCTATTTGTCAAGACAGTTTAACATTCTTTGTCGGTGTACAGATATTTTGAAATAAATATTATATGAGTGCACTCAAATTATGAAACGAATTACAGGCCTGTCGCGCGACCTGGGACCCACGTAACCCACTTTTCTCGTTGCAGCTAATTTTACACCATCTGCCAGCAGACGGCTGGAATAATCGCCTGATATTTATGTTGGGTTAGGCAACGGGAGACAAGATTAGAAAGATTAATAAAAAGTTCATTTTCAGGATAACTTATTTAATATCGAGTTCTTAGGTTTTCGCGATTGTTACACATAGGAAATGAAACTATGTTTCCGGATTTAAATTGCGTATATTTGTTTTTTCAAACAAACTTATTTTGTAGCTAAATCTTATATTTTGTAGCTAAAAATTATAATAATACTATAACAATAAAAATAAAACACTTAAAATTAACAGATAATAGAAGAAACTTATGACTTTAAATAGAAATTAAAGTAAGTCGTTTTGGAAGTCGTGGCAGTCAATAAATGCCGCGGTTGACCACGATCTTATTCAGAGAGACGGCACTCTTCATCTGAAACAGTTTTCTAACCTAGCTTTGTGCTTTTATTTCAAAATATAGATTACACGTTTTCTGTTTACAAAACTCTCTTTTGTTAATTCTTATTTCTCTCTCTAAATAAAAAGAAACCTTAACAGGTTAACAATTTTTTTCCAAACACAGAATTATTGCACACAATAACTGACTACAAAGACATATTCAACACAAATGACAGCGTAAAACGGGTGCCTTTATTTTACTTAGGTAGCTATAATCTTCTAGGCCACCTTACAGTAACCCACGATAGTCGAATGTGGTTTGGTGACCAGAGATGGGCTCGGGTTTTAACCTGGCGCTTTCTTAACGCTAGGTTTAAATCGGATTAAAATCCGTTAATATCCGAGAATCGAGGGCAAAAGCTATTTACAACTTAAATATTTGTTGTATATCGAACTTTGTTCAAATTCAACAGTATTATTACAATTTCTGATCTAGACGGATCGCGTTGATATTATATCGACAGAGAAAATTGTTAGATCGCATACACTTGAATCGATTTTCATAAAAATCGGATCGTAATGTGTACCCTCAGTGTTGCTTCTTACACAGGTGTAGGGTCTGAGACGCCGACCGCCGTTCGCGACGCCTCCAAAGAACCTGCGTATATAGATTTTAACCTGCGTATCTCGCTGACCAAGCAAAGTAAACGGGCTAGTGGCACCCAACATAATTAATTATTGCACCAGTTGCACCAGAATTTCTGATCACTTGGGAAAACATAAGTATTCCAATTTGATCGCTTGCCTACTACAGAGCGCTAGGGTATTGATTGCACCCGGTCTGTAACAAACTAATTCATTGCAAAAACTTTAGCAATCTTTCTTAATTCGATTAATAAAGATTAACAGATTAATTAAAAAACTTAAATACCAATTAAACTAATAACTTTAATCTTCAATCACAAAACCTGTCAAAATATAGATCCATTAGATCAATGATCGATTGATCATGAATATGCTAAACATTATTGTACTGCGGTCGCGTGGGCGCAGGTGATCGATAAAAACGGTTAATTACACTTTGAAATAAGCTTTTGATGTCAATGAACTATGACTAACATGACATACATAATGTACTTCAAAGATGTAATTGGTATTCTAGAATTATCTGAAGAGTTTAAAGAAACTACAAGACATGCTGCCATCAGTTTCGATATTATGTTGCCGGTTAGGTTCCGATCAAGAACGCCAATGATTAGAAAGCAGCAAGGTATTTATTTTTGGATGAACCTCTTTTGCGGACCGCTGCTGACGTCGAGATGATACCGGAGGTAAAGAAACAATCATGGACAAACAATCGAAAGCATTATATTATTAAAGTATATAAAAATCATACAAAATGTAAATAAAGGGAGAATACACTTAAAGAAGAAAGGATTTATAGTTAATAAGACGAGGAACATAGGGAGGAAAGTAGGAAGGTCATACAAGGAGGAAGCCAACTTAGAACAATCAACAATTGTAGCTATATACGTGTTGACAATATACAGTTTGATTGTCATCGCGTTTGTATTTATCGTAGACGTAAAGAAATGTATGCA